AAACCCAACCCACCCTCAAACTCCCTCATACACCCTATTTGTTTCAGAAAAATTTAATAAACTCGTCGCGCCGGGAGAAAAAAAAGGGGGGGGGGGGGGGGGAGGCAACTGATGTTTATATCAAGACAATTCTTCTATAAGATTCTCCCGTCAGGATAATTTGATAGATTTCAGTTTGAAAGATGGACTATAGTTTTCTCCACTCTGTTAGAAAAAGAATCTTAAGAAAATATTGAATATTCTAAAAAATTCTTCAATAATGAGATGATTGCATTTTTTGCTGCAAACTAACCGCTTGACTCTTGTTTCTAGTTTACCGATGACACATCCATGGCTCTATGCTTGGCTAATTCATTGATTGATTGCGGGGATTTTGTGCCATATGATCAATTAGTTCGTTACAAATGGTGGTATCGACATGGTTATATGTCATCGACTGGACATTGCTTTGATATAGGTGCGGCTACAAAAAACTCTATTCAAGAATTTGAAAAAAGACAAAAAAAATTTGCGAACGACTGGAATATTTCATATGAGGAAATAGATTATATATCGAGTCCAGATCTTCTTCGCAAGTTTGATGTGAATTGCAGTAAAGACGGAGTAGCCGGCAACGGTGCTCTTATGCGCCTGGCACCTGTACCGCTTTTCTTTTATAGAAATCCTGAAAAAGCCGTCAAATATTCGGGTGACAGTGGTCGAATTACTCATGGAGATGACAAAGCATATGATGCATGTCGCTATTATGGTGCTCTCATTGTCGCTGCACTTCACGGTATACCGAAAGACAAACTGATCAGCGATAGATTTTATGACGATAATAAACAATGGTTCGAAAATCAGCCACTTCATGTGGACATTTTGCGCATTGCTAAAGGTTCGTACAAGAAACCTGGTGGTTATGATGATGGAATTCGAGGCAAAGGCTATGTAGCTAGTGCTCTGGAAGCTGCTTTGTGGGCATTTTGGAGTGACAATAATTCGTTCGAGGAAGGTGCTCTCAAGGCTGTTAATCTGGGCGATGATACCGATACGACAGCAGCCATCTATGGTCAATTGGCCGGTGCTTGCTATGGATATCAGAATCTCCCTAAGAAATGGCTCAAACATGTCTATGCCAAGAATTTCATCTATCATGTCAGTAACTGGATCTTTTACGAAGGAAATAGTTGGTCACTTAATCAGAAGACACCGAAAAACGGTGCATTAATGAATTCTTACAATCTTGCTCATAATCACTCTTCCATCTCGAGACCAGAAGGCGATATTAGTAACGATTATGGATCTATGATTAACTTGTCATTTCTCACCATCGCACGTAAGGCGATAGATCCTTCGGGCTATATTGGATGTTTGTATAATGGACGACAGGACTGTATCATACCATCATCAAATATTTCTATCAAAATGAAGGAAAATCCCACATATCCGCCAATTCAATGCCATGTTAAGAGTAGCAGCAACTGTGACTTGCGAAATTTGCTTCGAGTTGCTGGTTTCGGCAGTGAACTTCGGTTGAGTGTGGCATCGGGTATCGTGAAACCGATGGGCATTGCTTCAGTTGTTCATTATCCGTTCGTCATCGATGAAAACACTCGCGTATTCTATTATTCCTATTCAGTTCGAAAAGAAGGTTTACTTGACGAGCAATCCTTTCAACGATCGAAGCATATGCCTGAAGCTACTCATGTTATCGTTGGCATTGATTGGGGTATCGAGGTTATTGCTGTATTACAATTGCCACCTACTGATTCGAAGTCGATTGATAAACTGTTGAATGAAATATGTGCACTTTTGAACGATGATATGGAACTACCTGATAATATGGTTTCACTTAACTGTATTCTTTCGATGCATATCTATTCTAATATACCTTCTTTAACAAAATTGAAGTCAATGATCAATTTATATGAAGCAATACGCAATTGTAAAAAGAATATTGCTAACCATCAGCCATGTAATTATATCCTTCATCCTGTCATGACACTCTACTCCGATAATAATCAAAACGATTGTAGACTGATTTCACTTGGAACAAAACTTACTGGGAGAATCGAAGATAGTTTGCTTCTATTATCAGATGTTGAGAAGATGTGGACAACATTTTGCGAAGATGAAACCTACACTTTACTGGAAAAGTATCTGAAAGAGCACTTGGACAAGATGCAAAATCAATTTAAGCAATTAAAAACTCAATATGTAAAGGAAAGAAAACGATTTCAAAATATAATTCTTAAGATTCGCCAAGGCGGTGATGACCAACAAGCGATCAATCGGAAACTGTTGACTGACGACGAACAACAAACTTTGAAACAATATATCGATAATTTCATAGATTCTTTGACAAATTTGAAAGAAAAGGGACGTTTGATCACCTATTTGAGAAACAAAGGTTTCAAATATCTGAATGCAAAAGAATCTACTGTGACACAGGACGATGATGACCAGGCGATTGAGCATAAATTGGTGCAACATAAAGAGCAATTTATTCTTTGCTCGAATGATAATTTAAACGAGAAAAATTGGAACAAACTCAAAGAACTATGTTCGCAAATGAGCAAGAATCGAACGACGAACGTAAATCTGTGCTTGCTCTATGTAGATTTCTCGTATTGTGACTACGAATTGGATATGATTAAAACGTTTCCCACGACTAAAAACAGTAGACATACCGACAAAAGCAAGCCCGTGACAATAAAACAGGCAGAACCACATGATATTGTTTCACCGACGTCCAATACTGATCAAACCATCAATATTCTTCTCTTAGGTAAAATAGGAGTTGGTAAATCGATGTTCATTAATATGATTGAACACTATTTAAAATGTAAAAATTATGACGAAGTCAAATCCAAAGTATCCATATTTTCGCCGATCATCTCATTTTTCTATAAGATCAAAAATGACATAGAAGAGCGTTTTGTTCAATTCGGAAAACATGATCCAAATGAAGACTACGATCATCCTGGACATTCAGTAACTCAAAATTGTAAACCGTATATATTTAATACCGATTCCGGTCAAAAGTTAAGAATTATTGATACGCCCGGCATCAATAGTGTAGATGGAGAAGTCTCTGATCGAACAAGTATGAAACATATACTGTCGTGCATTAGTGAACTAACCCATTTGAATGCTATCTGTGTTCTGATTGAGTCAGGAGACCCGAAACTCAACATCTATGCAGAATATTTACAAAAAATGCTAAATTTTCTTGGAAATGATGCCCGTGACAATATCATCTTTTGTTTCACCAAATTTTGTACTAGCCCGATTATTGGCGATGAAAATAACGCACAAGTTGAAACAATGCTTCGATCATTGCCAATCAAGCTTCCTTTCACTTACGAGAATATATTTGTCTTTGACAGCAGCTTTTTTCTCTATTTGATTACAAGGCGTTCATCTAATCATCCGAAAATATCATGTGACGACAGTTGGTCAATTTCGAAAGCTTCATGGGATCGTCTTCTGGAATATACGCGCAAAGCTCTCTCACCGTACTTCATTCGACAAGAATTCAATAAGAGTGAATATTTTCGACTCAAAATTATGCGAATGATTCGTCCAATGTTAGAATCAATACGAAACATTCTTCGAAATCGTATTCTAAATAAGGATACAAAATGGCCTTTGTTTGTTGAGCTACGTCCGAAACCTATTTCATATCCTTCGGCTATGTGTTCCTCATGCAAACCTAATGTTTATCGACATCAAAAACTTTCAATCCCATACTTTGTAGTACACAAATACGTTGATGAATGTTACCAATGTTCATGTGAACCAAGTGAACATATCCAAATTGATTATCTACTTGAATACACGATAATTGACGGAGAAAAATATAAATTCGACGAGATGAATGCCTTGGAAAAACAGCTTCTTGACGCAAGTATATACTTTAGCCATTTTCTCAATCATGTGGATGACCATTCAACTGATGATAAATTTCTGAACACTTTAAATCAGATGATCATTGAAGAAAGTTGTTTCCGTAACTATAGTCACTTGAATGCGTGCTTGCACATTCAGATTGAAACGCTCCAACAAGATTATCGACGACGTTTGAAGAAAATGGAAGAAAAAAATGAGCATTATAATATAGAGATTATCGATTATTGGATTGCATATGTGGAGAGAATCCCTATGGTACATCAGCAAATGATGGCTGCCAAAAATATGCTAGACCTGATCACAGACACATAAATCAAATGGATGAACCAAGAACACATTTCATTGATATATTGAAAATACAACTCCGTATTTTTTCATAATTCCATTCCAGAATTTCCACAATAAACTTAGGATTAATAACCATTCTAATGTCCATATTTTCACCTATGCTTGCAGGATATATAATAGTTTTGTATACTGTCATGCCATTATAGAATTTGGGCATGGATGGATGCGGGTCTGAGTATGTGTGGATCTTTCCCTCGATCACACTCACACTCTTCATTTCATTAGTCGTCAAAACGTTATTCTTAGTTGTCGCATTTTCGTCAAGTCTCGTTCTCTTGTAGTCATATACAAAAAACCGCATTTCGTAATGTCATTGTTCATAGGAAACATGTTTCCTAGCAATCATCTAAAGGACATATCCAAAGTAGATGCCTTTCTTCACAATTTTTCGAACGTCGTCATTAGCGACAGAGCGAAACCCGTTTTGTCTCATCAAAGCACTAGATACAAGTGAAATGCTGTCAAACGCTTTGACAGAATACAAGTGTTTAGCATCATTTTGAATGATTAGTATTGTGAAATCCGTTGTGTTCAATAAGAAACGGGGTAGAACGTATTATAGTTGACACAAAACGCTTTGAAACGCTCTGTCATCTGGTAGGAACGCGTTTCGAGTTCTGTTTTCTTGAATTACTTAAGCCATGGGTAGTAAAATAATGGTAAAATACCATTCATCAACGTGACACTATTGCTTTATTGAATTTTTCAGAAGATATCACAAGATATAATCTGGATTTAACACAACTTGAACCCTATCGGACCCGATACGCATGGTATATTCATCAACAACATATGCGAGAGTTTAATTCTACAAAGTGCATACATGACTCTTTGTGTTATGGCTTTTACCACAAAATCGTACCCGTTGTACATTTATTTCCGTTGCATTTGATATAACTGTCTGTCTTTTTTTAGTTTTCAAGATTCAACAACAAATTTACATAGTGTTACAGTTGAAAAATTTTCAAGGGTTAAATCTAAAAGTCAAGTGAAAAATCTTCGAGAAAATAATTGTAAACCAAAGCATTATATACTATTTCAGAAGGCACATAAAACAGACGCTTCAAGTGTTCAAAATATTTCCTTTCGTTATGCATATGAATACAATCTCACATTCATGTTATCAGAGAAATTCAATTATTTCGATCATACTGCACTTTTTAAAATTGTGAATGTTATACTTAAGTCAACGCTTGTTCAGCATACTAAGGCATTATCTTCTAATCAAAACAATATTTGTGCACATCATGCAAGATTTAACTACAAGGAAACGAAATCTATTATGCCTGTTGATATTATTTTTATGACCATTCTGACAGATCCTGCATTCTTAATTGAATTTCTTGCGTTAAATTATACTTTAAAAAAAAACATATCGGAGAAATTTTACGATTCACTTCTTAGAAAAGTTTTCCTCCATTTCTTCAAATAAGTCTCTCTATCATTCTGTACTTAACCACTGAATAAGTAACTGATACGGACGCAATCAAATCTCCTTTAATCTTAGTTTTAGTATAGAATACTTGGATAATTTGGAAATGATTAAGAAGTTTATTAAAACTATCGATTCACAATTTCATTTGGTTATGATGTATCAATCGTATGGGAGAATTGTTCATTCTTTGTCAACACCTATTTTGCTGAACATTAGACAATATGATAGCTTTTCGATACAATATTTAAAATGTCGACTAATCGTGTAATTTATCAAACGCTCTCACTCAAAAAATACGTTTTTTTTAATAATGCGGACGAACTTTTATATAAACACTTTTATGACAAGAAGGCAAAAATGGAAAAACAGATCATTTGTTTGCAACATGCAACAAAATTGATGTATGAAAGGTCTAATATTCTTCAACAGCTTGAACTTTTATCAATTATATTAATCTTATTTCATTTTTTTTTTTTTCGTACATTAGTTTTATTGAATATTATTATACGCCTTATATTTATAGAATACAATCAATAATTTATGCAGTAGTTTTTTAATTATCACAATTGAAATATATTTTAACTTTCTCATTGTATTTATTTTTATTCCGATGATTTATACAAGAAAAATATTTACAGAGAAGGAAAGTATAAATGAAACTTTTGTGGACAAATAAATAGTTTACATGTAACTAAAGATTCTATTGTAGTACAATACAGACGTGTTGTATTATAAGTAAAATAATTTGTCACACTTTTTAATGTTCTATATTCAATTACGAGATTTGTCAAACAAGGTAAACGAGTATTCTTGTCAGAAAGAAACTATATGACATAGTCACGGTGTGTACACTGAAAACATTGAGTGTCAAGAGATGATTAAATGTAATCAATGTGGACGAATAATGCTGCTTATTTTTTTTTTGTGGTTCATCCTTACATATAATCAATTGTTGAAGAAAAGGACAGTCTTGAGAGATTATTTGGAATAATTAATGTTTAAATGGACGTATATCATGCATTGATGGCAATCGAACTTTATCAAATCTTCCACCTAGAAAACAGCTATCCATAAATAAAAAGTCGTTGAATTGATATGGAAAAGAATAAACATGGCAACTGCCTCTATCCCAATGAGTTTGTCATCGAAACATGTATCACCTGATTGAATTTCTCTTTTAATAAAGCTATTCTGAATGCCAACAATTGATAGGCAGCGTGGCGTAGCCAAGGGATGGGCAAATAGGCAATTGTCGATTTCATTTGGACATTTGCCCATTGTAATTTTACTTTTCAGAATTGTTTATTTACTTTTGAATTAGATACTACTGTAGTTTTTCTTCTTCCATTTTGAATCATACATACACTATTTGCTTGTTCTTTCTGTGAAGAATTAAGAAAAGAAGAGAAAAAAATCGATTCTTGTCTCTTAACTGTAAGTTTAGGTGAACGTGAGTTTACTATTGTTAGGAAAACACTAATTACATAAAGGTCAAATGTTGGTTATTTATTAATTTTTTTAGCAATATTGCCTGTATCAACGGCTTCTGCTGAAAGAAGTTTCAGTCAATTATCGAGAACTAAAACTTATTGTCGGCCTACAATGAAACAAAATAAGCTGAGCAGACTTGCTGCTGCATACATTCATAAAGATCTTGATATAAATTCAAATGGAAGATTGAAAATATATACACAAATGCATCATTGTTGTCTTGATTTTGATGTTTGAATTTGAAATATAAATGTTATAAACAGAGACATTCAATTTAGACTAAAACACACCTAAATCAGGCTTAAGATCTGAGTTTGGTACATATTTGATTAAAAGAACCCTATATCATTTTTTGTGTTTCTTTACGGCATCAGTACTTTGTTGGGTCAAAAAAATTTTTTGCCTATTAATGAAAACCTTGTCCAGTTTGCCCATCGTTTTTTTTCCGACATAATAGAAGTTTACCAACTCGTCTAAAAATCCTGGTTACGCCGCTGTATATATATATATATATATATATGTTTGTACAAAATTAAAAGCATCTACGATAATAAACAATAGAAGAAGAATAAATAGATGATTGTTGAATTTGACTAATTATACATGAGATTTACCGAGGTTTAATATTTGACACAAATAAAAAAATATTTTGATGAAATTAATCACAGTAAAGTTTGAATATTCATATGGAATTAAGATGTAGATGAAACATGTGTAATTACTCTAAACAAGAAACATTAAGAATAGAATATTTATTTTATTTTCTTATCTTTTTACTTTAGAATATCTTCTGGTTCATATTGAGTTCCTTCATCAACTATATCTCCTTCTTCATATAATGGTTGAAGTTTATCAGCTAATGCAAATATAATAGATTTTTCTTTTGTTCCTTGTACAATTATATAATCAATGTTAGATTCAACTTCTCTTGTTTTAACAATAGGATTTTTCGTAATCATTGAATCAACACTTTCAAATAATAGTTTTGGTATAGCACCACAAGCAAAATCATGTGTTGTACATTGAACACGTGCATAATAAGCAAGTATAGCAAGAAAAATTGAGCAAATAAAAAGAAACGGTAAAATAATCGTATGAAATATTGGAAATTCATTATGATGAATTTTTACTAGAGCTGTTTTTATTGTTGTATTAGTAGTTTTAATTGAAAAACTTTTTGAAACTAATTCTTTTGATTTCATATGTATTGGTGTCCACCATGTTATATATTGTTCAGTATTATTACGATCTAAATCAAAATAATAACTAAAAATTGTACCTAATGATATGGTACTATTTGTTATTGTTTTAGCAACCCATATTGATAATAAAATTGATGTAAAAGATAATAATAAAATACAACCAATGAGTAAAGTTAAATTTAATCTTGCTTCAATTATTAAATATTTTGTTTCAGCAGCAAGAGCATGCATATGTAAAGAGAAAGAATTAGAATTAAAATTAAGAAAAAAATATAATAAAATATCTTCGCGAATAGTATCTGCAACCGGATATTCGTCAGCATTTTTATGTATTCTTTTGTCTTTTAGCATTTTTAATCTGAAATTTAACGTTAAATATTTGTAAACATAAGTCGTCTATGGTTCAATTATAACAGAGACCATTCATTAAGATCAAATATTTAAAAGGAAATGACTCAGCAGAACGATAAGATTCTCGAATAATGTTTTTTTGAATCCTGATGAGTATCTCACATTTGAACGGTTTCGTTGCAAAATCTTTTAGACCGATAAAAACTGATCAGTTTGTTGAATCATTATTAATCGGTTAATGTAAATAGCTTTTAAAAACAAACATTCATTTTTCTTTTTGTATTAAGATTTTTGGCAAATCTTCAGAAAGAAATATAATATTATAGGCGTTTATATCTGTGTAGATTCTCAACGATAAACATATGATATTTCTATATATAGTACGAAAAAATAAACGTAACGTTTCTCTTCGAATTATAACCCATACCTAAATTTGATCTTTACTGAAGAACATATGATATACATTTAGATCAAGTAACACACTTTTGACTGTCTTCTTTGAAGAAATAAAACAGTGTGGACGAACAGGAAAAAATAAAAATTAATAGTTCTTGAAACAACACTGTTTATACATCTTGATAAGAGAGCAAGCAAACTTGCTCTGAACAAGTTTTATCAGACAAAAATTGCATATCGATCAAATATTTTCCAATTGATAAAAACTGGTGAAAACCGACTGGATTGGACTGGTTACAAATCTGTTTCAAAAGACAACAATAAACAGCATGAATGACATAGAAATAAAATCACAAATATTATCTTTGAGCTAAAGAGCATCGTTGCATAATGTGGCAAATCTGTCGCCTTCAGTTCAATGCAAAAAGATTTTTTCAGGTCTATGTAATTTCAGAAATCTATGACTGTCAAGTGTTTTGGTTAATAACTATGGTACCAATAATTTTTTCTTTCATATATCCTATATGAAAAGTAATAGCGTAAGTCAACTCAGTTTTTTATGCTCTACTAAATGATATAGTGATCATATTTAGCTTTATTTTCTCTCTTTAATTATGCACGATCAAATGAGTACGATAGATACAGTTCTCATATTGCATAGATACTTTGGTAGGATACTTCTGTATGTAAAAACAAAATGAATGCTAAAAATCTTTATAATCAAAAACTGCGTTGTCTAATGCTCTGCAAATCTGGAAAATTTTCATAAAGGTCTATACTGTTCTAAGGCTCACTTTCATCGAAACATTGTAAGAACGTGATCATTCTTAGGAGCACTGTAAAGCCGATATCAATCATTGTCATCCTGACCCTTAATCTGATTTTATCTTCAGAGAAAAATAAATGCCGTATTCGAAATCAGTGCAAGAAAGTACATTAAATCACACCAGAGCTGTCAACAGGCCACTTTTTTTTCAGCCTGACCTGGCCTGCCAGGCTAAATTTCGAAAGTCAGCCTGCAGCCTGGTCTGATCTGCAGGCGCCTGCAGGTCAAACCAGACGAACTAATGTTTCAGACTTTTTATTATTATCAAATTTACGAATGGATGGAAAAAGGAAGAAAGGAAAAATGTCGAAAGGAAAAATGTAGAAGAAAAATGTAGAAAAGAAAATATAGAAATGGAAAAATAGCGAATGGAAAAATATCGAAGAGAAAATATCGAAGAGGAAAAATATCGAAAATTAGAATGTCTAAATAAAACACGATATATATATATAATTTGATAAATGATATTAGGCGGATAAAAAATAACTATAAAATATAATAAAGACCTAGACTAAATGTCACTTCACATATGATAATGAGTAGTCATTTTCTTTTTGACTTAATATTTTTAGCAACAACATAAGATAATCCATCGAGAAGTTCATTAGCATTAATATCATCATTACCGTAACGAATATATAATGTATCAATTCGGTGTTGAATAG